GCGCCGCTGAACCATTCATCGTGTCCTTTCAGGAGCTTAAGGAGCGAAGTGCCACGTTGGCTGATGACGCCAAGGAGAACATCTTTTCCTTGTGCGATCCTGGCTCACAACGGGCGCGCGACGAGGAGAAGAGGCTGGACCCCTTGATCAGCGTAGTCATGAACGGATGTCTCGGGAGGCAGTTATTTCATGCTCACCCTGGCACGGACCCACTGTCTCGACCCGAAGGTATTGGAACAGTGACAAGAAATATCAAAGTCAGCGCAGACAGCGAGCCTGCTGCCGCCACAGATGAACGCAGGGACCCTTACGGTGACGACCTGGACTACGACCCGGATAAGGTGAGCGAGGAATCTGGGGCGGACGTACCAGACGAGCTTGAAGGAAGCCCAGGTACAGGCGACGGTCACAACACCGGGACGGCTGACGACGAAACATCCATCGTCACGGACGACAGACCCCCGCTGCCGAGAAAGCAAGATCCACCACCACACCGGGCTCCTCCGGAAGGGTACGTGCGAGGCTGGGAACTGAGCATCACACGAGGACAACGAGACGATCGAATTCAACACATCGCTGACGACGGGACTGGTTCCTCGCGCGGATACAGGGACCGGTGGAGCTACGACAGGTCCTCAGACCGCCGGGCCACGCATTCTCGCGACGACGCCTGGCGTCGCCAGGAGATGCGCACGGGAAACGACGGGTTTTTCAATCATGGCATATGGGTACCTTTCTCCAAGAACCCACTGTCCACCAACGAGCCCAAGAAGAGCGACGGGTCCAGTATGTACAAGGCACCATCCGCACGAACGACTCACAACACTCCTGTGAGTCCGACAGCGATTTCATCTTCAGGACGCAGAAAGAGCTAGGCAGCATGTTCAGCGACCTGTGGTGTGCACGCTGTGCCAGAACTTGCCTGACTAACGCCCAGCCGACCTGTGACCCAGCACTGCAGCCGCCAAGCGTGTGCCGGGTTGTCCTCCACGCCTGGAGGACTGCAAACTACGACGTGTACCGCGCCGACTATATCCTGCGCGCCAATATTTGCTTTCGCAGCCAAGCGGACAGACTCACGGCTATCAATAACGCCTCCAGCTCAGGAGCTACCAGCAGCAGCGGGGCCGCCGCCTCCAGGTCCCACGCAGCGAGAGCGCACCCGAGCAAGGGGAAAGGCAAGTCGAAGGACGGGCCCGATTCGCCGGGCATGGCGGGGAAAAGGAACCGAGCAACCCAGAGCCCATGGAGTTTATGGCACGAGAAACGGTATCGCCAGTAATAGTAGGCGCGGGGCATCACCCAGTTTCGACGAGATACGGCTCTGTCATCACACCGGATGTGCGGTGCGCCAGGCGACTACATTGCTAACTCGCTCTTGTGTGCTTGCGGCGGTTAGCCGCGTTCCCCTGCTCTCCCTTCCTTGCTGCCCCCTCCGCAGTCATGGCGGCTCAATGCTGGCATCAGACCGGCAGCCCACCATGATAGCCCCCGCCAAGCGTCCCAGTGGAGAGCTAGCTCCCGGAATTCTTCATCCACTGCGCCTCCCTGAGGGTTCTTGCAGTAACTGGTGCGTGGCTAAACAACGAAGCATGCATCGCATACGCCCGCTGGCGCATATGGGGTGGCGCGCTAGCTCAATGGGGGACTTCATCATCTGTGACTGCGCGCTACTTCGCGGCCGAAAGGGCCCAGCTGTTCCCATGACTTCGTGCGGAGAGCAATGGCAAACTGATGCCCGTGGCGGGTTTATTGAGGTGAGCTTCGATGCCGAGCGCCTGGCGCGCGCGCGTCAGTGTGCACAGGGTTATGATGAGCTCTCCTCCTTCGTTTCCTTTTGCTTCAGCGGTTTGCTGACTCTCCCCCTCTTGCGTCACTGTGACCATGTATTCGGTGCCGAGCGCCTGGCTTGCGCGTCAGTGCACACCGGGTTCTGGTGAGCTCCCTTCTTTCTTTTCCTTCTGCTTCGGCGGTTAGCTGGCTCTCCCTCTCCTGCGTCACTGGGATCATGTATTAATCGGGACTGGGCGGTGCTATGCCTACTGGCTGCCTTCAGCCAGCGCCCCCCCCCCCCCCCTGCTGATGGCCGAAAGGGTTCAGTGGGCTCCGATGCTTGTGTCTCCTGCTTCCTACTGCCGCAGCGGATAGCTGCCACAACGGTTTGCCTACCGTGCCTGGCGCGCACTTCCCATTCATCTCCTTCGTTTCATTTGGTTTTTCGCACGCGGCTGGGGTCGCCGCTAATACTGCTGTTCGTTGGTGCTCTGACACCCTGAACTCCATGCAAGGTTCACACTGGGAACGGATGGTCAGGTGGCCCCTGACCTGCTCCTGTCTGGTGTCGGCCTCCACTGGCGACCGGGAGGGTTCCGTGAGGTCTCGCTTCGAACTTCATGCGTGACCACATTGGGGATGGGCGGCCAGGTGGCCCCTGGCCTGCTCCTGCTTGGCGTCAGCCTCCATTGGTGACCGTTTGGCTTCCGTGGGGAGTTGCTACGGTGCCGTCCTCTTCGGTGCAAAGATTTCGGCATGTGTGGCTATGGGCGCCCGTCGGCTGCTTTCTCCTTCATGGACTTCGCTTTCGACTTGTGCCACCGTGTGTACATACCAGAGGATCTGCCGTTTGCAGTCTTGTCTGTAACGAGGCTGCCCCCTCTTCACTCCTGCGCCGACACGATGCTGTTGTGTCACCTACGGCACGGATGTCGCCCTGATGTGCTTGTCGGACTTTCTCGTTTTCGTCGGGCCCTATGCCGACTCACAACGGGTGGTCGACCTCTGCGTGTTCATGGTCGCGCCGCCGCGCCATTTTGGCTGCGCCTACTGGATGGTCGCCACCAGGATTTCCACGCCACCGGGTTGGGAGTACCGCTCCTGGTGCACTTTTGAGTGGCTGCCCGCGCGCTCGCTTCGCTTGTCCCTCTCCTTCTTGCTGCCTAGTCGCGGCCCGGCTAGTGATCGGACGGCTTTCGACTTGCTTCGCGAGCCCGCAGACCAAAACGTATCCCCATTCGCCGCTTGCTTTTCTTTTCCTGCTGCCTAGTTCCGGCCCGGCTAGTGTTCGGACGGCGTTCGGCCCGCCTCGCGAGCCTGTTGACCAACAGTCCCCATTCAAAAACCTTGCCCAGTAGAGTTGACGGTACAAGGCGCGAAGAAACACATGTAGTGATACAAAGAGGAAAACCAGGGTGAGCAGAGAGATCTCTGAGAGCAAGGGGGTCGTTTGGGGGCATTTTCGGGCCATTCATAAGGCCCGCGTGGGGGCGAAGGAAGGACGAGGAGGAGGAGGAAAATGACGACGACGACGACCACGACGACGAGGAAGAGGAGGGAAGGGAAAAGGAAGACGATGAGGGCAACGACCAGACCGAAGCGGAGGGAGAGGAGGAGGAGGAGGAGGAGGAGGAGGACAGCGATGGCGAGGACAGAACCCTGGGACTTTTTGGGGAGATCTGGGGGTCGTCTTGGAGCTCTCGTGGGGGGTTGGGGGGCCCTCTTGGGGCCGTCTTGGAGCCCTGTTTGGGGTCCCTTTGGCAGTCCTGGAGGGCATCTTGGGGCCATCTTGGGGGCCATCGGCAAAAGGGAGCCACCAACATCGCCTCTTAGTGCGCTCTTGGCCGGATTTTGGGCGCTCGTGGGGCTGTCTGGCGGGCCTCTTGGCCATTGATTTACATCCACACCCCTGCTTCCTGCCTCGTTCCCCTCCTGCGTTCTTCTGCGACGAGAACAAGTTACCGCCTTCACACGCAAAAAACGCAGCAACATGCTTGTTAAATAAGAGAAACGGGTTGGTCATCGTGCTGCATGCGGCGGCTGTTCAGGGAGTTGGCAGCGGCGGCGGGGCAGCGAGGATGTGTAAAACTGGATAACTCCTGCCAAAGACAGCCATTGGAATGGTCGACACCCGACTTCCTCATCCCTCGCCCCCCCGCGGTGCTCTGCACAGTCTGGCATGGTAGGCCGGCGCCGAAGAATCAAGGGTGCCCATGCGCCCCGCTTCAGGAACATCATTGTGTGCTCCTCGGTGTCCTCTGCAATCGGTCCCAGTTGTAGCCAAGTCGGGTCCAGGATCGTCGGGGGCGGCACCGAGGGGGGTGATGACAAGGGGGGGGGGGTGGATATCATGGCGTGGGCAATGATATTTCCCCAGACTTCATGGCGCCTCTTCTTATTTCATTACGTCCCTGGCCCCCACCCCTGGGCCGCGCACGTGTCGCCAGCCATGATTTGCACCCCACCCTCTTGGGCGCCCTCCTCTTGACCGCTCCCGAGATCGGAAGACATCGATCCAGAGCGCTCTCGGGGCGCTGGGGAGCGCTTGGAGAAGGCGCGGCGCCCGACGGATCTTCCAGACCCGTCGGGTTTCGGAGGCCCCCGATCTACTGGACATCGCGTACTCCAGGTTTGGTGATAAAAGGGAGGGGGTCTCATTTCTGGGGGGTCTCTTCCAGGCTATCTTGGAGGGCCTGGGGGGGTCTGGGGACGATGTTTTGGAGGGTTCTCCCACGGGGGGGGTCTGAAATGGCTCGTCTTGGAGGGTCCAGACCCCCTGCTTTTTATTACGAAATCTGGAGTAACTTGGTCGTGGTAATGCTCTACTTTTTGCTGCTTCCCGGAAAAAGAGCTCGGCGGCGCCGGCGATCGAGTAACGAGAGGGTTCCGCGTTCCCCAGGACGCGCGCTCGCGTTGGCACGGCACGCGATCGGCCAGGTGTCGGAGTCGTTGTCGATTTCTTTGTGTGTGGGCTGGGCGCTTGCGAGCGCATCGTCGCTCCGCCGCGCGGCGCCGTCGTTGCGGCTTGTTCTGTTGTTACGAATGGGGGGCGATCAATTGGGGGTGGCGAGGGCTGCAGAAAAGGGGTGGCCTTTGGGCTCGGAAAAGGGCAGTTCCATTCTCCTCATGTATCGCCCCCCATGAATTCGCGTCCAAAGTCGTCTCGATCCGATGTTGCCCCGATCCTTGCTTCAGCTTAGTGGCCGTCGACGTCCGACAGGAAGGGCATGGCGCCCGCGCTCGGTGGCGTAAGCTTCACGGTCGCGGGGGGCTCCTCCGTTGGCGTGGTGGGCCGCAGCGGCGCGGGGAAGAGCACCTTGCTGGCGCTGCTGCTGCGCCTCCGCGAGCCCACCGAGGCCAAGACCGTCGCCGTCGCTGTTGTGGTCGTGGTCGTCGTTGTCGTCGTCGCCGTCGTCGTCGTCGTCGTCGGTGTCGGTGATGTCTCCGCCGTCCGCTCGGGCTCCGCCAGCTCCAGACCCTGTGCGCCGACTAGTCCCTCGTTTATGGGCAGTTTCGGTGCAGCTGGTCAGATCTTGCAGGCTCCAGAAAGGTCCATGCCTTCGAGGATCGACGTAGTTGACATCTCTTCCTCGTCAGAAGCTGGGACAGGAAAAGATGCGTCCCCAAGATATGTATATATTTCTGGGTTCAGGGTTCCCGGAACCCGCCACATAGTCTTCCTCTGGATGCTTCCAGAGGCCTCCAGAGGCCTCCAGAGACCTCCATATCGTCCCGAACGGCTGTTGGAGACCCGAGTTGTGACCTAGTCTTGCTCAGGGGGTTCGCATCGACCCCCAATCGCGCATTCAGCGCCGAAGGATGCTGGATAACCCGCCCCCACCCAGGAACGTGCGTACTCGCTATCGGAAGCCACTGTCACCAACCTATTGCTATGGAAGTCGATTAATGGAGAGGAAGCATGTTGCCAAGTAATTTCCAGATGTCCAAGAGATGTTTCAAACATGTTTCAAACATGCTTTAAAACACATGTTTGAAGCGTTTTTAGAACATGTGTTTACACATGTAAAACTCATTGTTAATTCAATGATCGGATTGTTAGAGTCTCCATTGTCATGGCATCCACAACGCCAGTTCCAGCCCGGTGTCCCCCCCTGATCCGGCCCCCCCTCCCTTACAGTTCCCGTCGCACCAGAGTCGTTGCGTAATGTTCAAATCCACGAACACAACCTCCAGGCCTTTGCTGGAGGTCGCCGCGGCGATCCACAAGTCGGGGCAACGTGCTTATCGCGTACAGTCGGCCCTGATTAGTAGGTCGACCCTGTCAAATCAAGGGTAGTTACCCTTTGGTACAATTGCCTCGCGACACATGCCCCCTACATCCCCCATGGCAATGTGGCCCTCGGAAGGGTCTTGTGTCCTGTCCAATCAAGGCCGACTGTAGTCAGGTGCCCCTTCCTAGCCCCTCCCTGCTCTGCGATGTAGACGTGGCTCAATATTTGCAATAGAGCTACAGAGATGTGTCAATGTTTTGTCAAAGGTGGGTAGTCATGCTTGATGGGTTAGTGGTCGACCATCACACAACCACCTGAGGCCGCCTGCTGCTTCTCCTCTTCCGATCGAGGATATCTGTTGCCTGAGGTCGGCGCCCGTGGCACACGAACCCTGGAAGAGCCTGGGAACCAGTTCTAAGCGGCTGTCCAGGGGGGAGGGGAGCGACGCGTGGGTTCTGCACTCTTGGCTAGGCGGGCCGCGCCCGGATCGGCGCGGGGGGGTCTCAGGAGGGAAAGAAACACACAGACACAATTAATCGGCGATTCCCAGAACGTATGGGAAAATATGGGAAGTGGGGGGAAGACAAAAACCCAGAATACAACAGAAAATATGGGGGATATTTTATTTGTGTGTATTCATTTGTGTGTCCCAGTTCCCCTTTAGGGTCCGAGAGCGGCCCCCGGGAGGCCCACGCCGATGAGGAGGAAACGGCGCGGGGGAAAGGCACTCCGCCGGCAGCCCGGGCACGTTTATGCGCCGGGACGCCCGACATGGGCACGGAAAGAATGGGTACAATGCCCAACAGCAGTTCCTGTTCATTTTGAACAGGATTCGCTGTCCACGCCGCCGCGGCCTGTGTCCATTTGAGACAGAAGGCCGCCTGCCCAACAGCGGCCGCTGTCGGTTCGGGACAACATTTGCTGTTGGGCATTGTGCCCATTCTTTCCGTACCCATATCGGGCGTCCAAATCCGACGGGCCTCTCTGGGATCGGTGCGATGCGTTGCAGAGTCTTAGGTGTTTGATCGTGGACCCCCTTGTTGAACGCAGCGATCCAGCTTTCTCGCCGCAGACATCCGGAGACCGCTGAAGACCGGCCAGGGCCCTTTCGGCAGTCTTCGGCGCGCCGAGTTTTCGTGACGAAGACCGCCAAAAGCACCTGGAGACACACGGCCGCTGGGCAAGACAGGGCCCATGGCCAAATACGTCGTAGAGTTGGTGCCTCCCGCCGAGGGCCGCATCCTGATCGACGGGGTCGATGTGGCCAGGCTGGGCCTGCAGCTGTTGCGGCGGCGGCTGGCCATCCTGCCGCAGGAGCCCCTGCTGTTCCCAGGCGCCGCGGGGGGCCGCTCTCGGCGTGCAGTGGGCAGGAGGAAGACAGATCGGCTCTCCGGTCTCGCGCCCAGGACTTGCCAGAGTCTCCCGCGGTTGCGGATAACTGGGTAGTCGAAGGCCAGACTGTCAGATTGGATTGGGCCCCAAGGGCCAATCTGGCCCGGCCAAACTGGATGATTTGGGTTATTCGCCAGACTGGATTCGCGTTGGCTTCCTCGCCAGATTGCCCCCGTTTGCCAGATTGGGCCTGCCAGATTGGCTTCGACTACCCAGAGTGATGGGGCGGGGGCTGGTAGGTCGTCGGCAGTCTGCGAGGTTCGAGGTCAAGTCTGAAGAAGCCCGCCACCGGCGCCGATTGTTTACACATTACGTTCACGAGCCCGCCTGTCATGGGAGGGTTGTGGGCTGGTCGCGGGTGGGTCGCAGAGCGGGTCGCAGAGCGGGTCCACGGGGCGGGGCGGAGGTCGAAAATAGTTTAAGATGCATTATTCTTTCGTTACCACGGCAGGAGGTGGGAGGAGGCCCGTGCACCGGTCAGGCACTTAACGGGAGGTCCTGTGGAAAGAGAAGCGGGCACCTGCCCAGCTCCTCAACAGGTACGGCCTTGAAGTGCCTTCTGGCCCACGCAGCCTAATCAAGGCATCGGTTGAGTCGTGTTTTGTTGCCTGGGGCAGATGGCATCGACACTTGCCTCCTGTGTACAGAGCACAGGGACGTGCCGGGAGAACCTGGACCCCTTCGGCGAGCATTCCGACGAGGAGCTGCGGTGCACGCTGCGGGCGGTGGGGCTCGGCTCCCTGGCGGTGGGCACCTCCGCGCCGGCTGGCAGCAGCGGCCGGGGCGCGGCCGAGGCGAGCTACGCAAACGGAATACCAGAAAGATCGGGGGCAATGTTAGCCCACACGTAAAAGTTACCCCTTTCCTGAGTGACCTCGGGTGCGAGCACAGTGGGGCCCCCGATCGCCGAAGGCGATGCAATAGTAGCGTCTTGCGCGCTTGTGTTTGGTCCCCCCGCGGCCCCCCAAAAGGCCGCGCACCAGAGGTCACTCTTACCCAGGGTCACTCCTGCGTGTAGCCAAGTGAGGATTTCGAGGTTTGAAATTTTCGAGCGTTTTCGGCTGTTCCTGGAGGCGTTCCAGCCTTCGGCAGCTGCGCCTCGGCGAGGGTTTGCCAGGGGTGCCGGGACCGTTCCGAAAGGAACGCAGAGACCCAAGTTATGGCCCGGAAGCCCAAAAAAGAGGATCAGCGGCGTTTGTGTTGCCGGGGCGCGTAGGCGAGGCCAGCGACGCGAGCGGAAGAGTCTAACGAGACCTCAACCCTTTTTTGACAAAAACGTCCGGACGGAGTTTGGTTTCGCCGTTTTCGGCATCTGCGGGGCCTCGCTGGGCCCCAAGACCGAAAGAACGATTCACGATGAAAAGCCCGTTCCCAGGCCCGTTCCCAGGAAGGGTCGAGGTTTCTGGGGAAACCTGTATTGAACGAGTCAAGTCTCCAGATCTGTTCGAGTGAGAAAACACGCTGACCATGACCAAGATGTCGGGTTTCTTGTCGACGCCGATCTTGGTCATAGTCCGTGCCGGCCGTCACCGATTCGCGAGGATGATCCACGAATTGGCGATGATTAAGATAGACGATGCCGAAGACCGACGCCGACGTCTCCGCATTCAGGCGTGGTCGTGGGCTTGGCTTCTTCCCCCTCCGGAAACAACGAATCTGGGGGCGATTGCGCAGATACTTTCGCGCAAGCTGCCCGCGTTCGCACGTAGCTGGACTTCTGTCGGGCAGTGTGTTTCAATCCTGTCGTTTCCTTTTGATTTCTGCCGTTCGGGCGCGGGGCGATCCTACAGTAGCGTTGCCCCCCTAGAGCCCGTCAAATTGCCTTTGGGGGCATTCGGCGAAGTTCCTTTTGGGGCCACAAAGCGTTTGGGGGGTGTGCTGACATGCATGCTCGCATGCGGACCTTCCACTGGGACATTCGGTGGAGTTCCCTTGTGGGCCATGCAGCGTGTGAGGGGTGTGTCGAAAATGGCGCGGTGGCGCCATGCGGATCCTTCCACTGGGGCGTTCGATGGAGTTCCCTATTGGGCCACGAGGCGTGTGAGGGGCGTGTTGACATCTGACCGATGACGGTGATTTTGGTGATGTTGAATTCGGTAAGGTTGATGATGATGGGGATGACAAAGATGATGATGACAAAGATGGTGCTGATGCTGCTGGTGCTTATGATGGTAGTGCTGATGATGGTGATAATGTTGTTTCGCGCTGGTGGTGACGATAACGATGATGATGAGGACGATTAAGATGAGCACAATGACGATCTCGACGGGGAGTGTGGAGGATGTGAGGATAGGAGGAGAGGAGGAGAGGAGAAACGGGAACACGGTACGCTGCTAAACGAGGACCCAGCACCACAGAAAAGTTGGGAATCGATGATTGTCGCCTTCTCGTTGATTCTTTTTGGGCGCTCCGAAGACCCGCGACCCCTCCCCGTCCAGACTTAGGGAGAGAGGGGAGGGGAACCTCTTCCCGAAGGGAAAGAAGGAGGTTGGAAGAGGAATCCCCCTCAACCACCAACACAGTAAAGGTGTGGTGGAATTTACGGTCGGATGTCTGGGAAGCTCAGCATCGTCTAGTCGATCCCCATCCCCTTCGGCCACGGAGTCTCAGCCCCACCAGGTCACCCGCACAGGTGGGCATAGATCACGCGACAACCAACCGAAACAGCATACATTCCCATATTGGGGGGGGGACAAATCGGTCAGTGAGGTCACGGCCATGCCAGAGGGGATGGGGACAGGTTACGCAAGGTCACCCGTGGAGACGCGAAGGTAAATCGCGTTTCGCGCGTCGCGATTTGGGCAATAGCGGTTTGATTTCTTCAAGGGGGAAGTGCGAGTGCGCGAAGATAGCCACGCGTCTCAAATGGTGGGGCGCGATGCGTCAACTTAAGCGAACCAAGTTTAACGATTCTCAGAAGCGCCCGCGTGAGCCATCGTCCTCATCCAGTCGCCGCTCTCAGGCCTCGGCGCTGTCCGTGGGGGAGCGCCAGCTTCTGGCGCTGGCGCGGCTCATGTTGCGGAAGGACGGCGGGCCGCACGAATTGGCGGCTCCAAGATGGGGCCCTTTCTTTCGGAGGGGGAAGCGGTACTGATACCGCTGTCCTTCTCTCGTTATCGCCGGTTTGGGCCTCCTGGGAGGCCCTCGTCGGCACCGCTGGATTCGCCAAGAAATTTTGGTCAGAACGCACCCTGGGAGAAATCCGATGAGTAACGGCGTCGGCACCGGCCCAAGATGGGGCATTCCCAGACCCCCAGCGCATTTGAGCAACATTCATACACAGGTTTTCGGCCATTTTCTGCCTCTGGGGGCCCTCGCTGTGCCCGGGAGTCGTCAAAGGACGACTCGGGAGGGCAGTCGGGCCGTGGGCAAGAGGACCTGGACGTCTGGCGACATCGCGTGGACAAGAGTCATTACGTATCGGATCTCGTGGGTGATCAGGGCCCCATCTTTGAGCCGCCAAGTGGCCCCGATCAGGGCCCCATCGCTGGTCAGGGCCCCATCCTTCGAGGGATGGGGCCCTGAGGACGAGCGGCTTCAAGCAAGGGAGGCTAAGCTTTGGATGCCTCAGCAGTCCTTAGGGCCCCTCGGGGTCCGATTCGATTCGATCCGATTCGATTCCGATTTCCCGACGATCCGATGCGGCCTGATAAATGCATGGCGCAGTTGTGCATCCTGTCGCAGCCCATCCGACGCGATGTCGACTCGATCCAAGTTCCTGAATCGATGCCGACTGATCCTGTCCCATCCCTCAGGGCCTCATCCTTTAACCACTGAGCGAAGGCCGCGGTTCACTGGCAGGGGCGCGCGCGATGATGTCCGCGTTTCGCGCTTGGCGTTCTGGGCCAAACGGTTGTTATTCTGTCTTACAGTCGGGGCTCTGGACGAGAAACCCTCTTCGTTGGGGAGGGGCTCCGTGTTCCTTAATTGTTTCGCAGCTTGCCTCAGGTTGTCCTTGGGTTCTCGATGGGGAATCGAAGTTTACTTTATGGAAAAAGGGGCCTCGTTCCTTATGTTGGGTTTTAGGTCAACGCCCCGACTGTATGTCTTTTGGGGGAAGGGCTTATCCATAGAATGCATCAGCCGCCACGGGAAGCGCCCCATGGTCATAGTAATTAGGCGGTGCATGATTGGGAGCATTTTTGGGCCGCCCAGGGCCCGAGATTTCCCATCGGTCGTTGAGAGTAGGTTTTCCTGGATTCCCAGAACCCGATCTACTTCAAGCGCCTTCCTACTTCGAGAATGAATCTGCTTTTGCTGCGTTTTGTTGCCTTCTGGGCGGGCCCGGACCCAATCTATTCTATCCGCTTTCCTACTTCGTGTTTATACCTACTTCCTCCGACCGATGGGTATCCATATCCCGTGCCTCCTGGGGTCCTGGAACATCGCTTCCCGAGGCGGTAGGTGCGGCCACGTATTCCACGGGGAGGCGGAGGGGCGCAGGGATAAGCGCGCCTCGAGCGGCGAGAAGCGGGAAGTTTGGCGACCTATGTTATGAGGGACGATGCCCTCGTCCTTCGTCGGCGTGGCACTCAGAGAGGCATCTGGGGGCTTAGTTGATGTTAGAAGCGTTGGATTGTTGTTTCCCCTTGTTTATTGTCGCTTTTCGGCCAGCCGAAGATTGAGGGGGGGAAAAGCGAAAACCATGACAGTACACAACGGAGCCGAACCGATCTCGGCGATCACGGGAATCCAAGCTCGGAAAGACGTTGTCCCCACACTTGACCAGAGACGTCGATTTAGAAAACGGCAAATATACCCCATCGTGTGTAACAGATTCTACTGTCTGTTGTCAAGTTCAATGTTGCCGCAGAGTAATACTTGGCGACGGTGCCGCCTTCTATTGCCCTGGATGCGAAATAGTAAAGTTGGTGTCCTTTATTTTGGCGACGGCGTTTGGTGAACCACTAGGTGCCCTCTGTGCGCTGTCGACATTCGGCACGGGGCTGGCACAGTAATCGCTCGCCAGCGAAAACTCAACTTTTCGCGTTGTTTGATTGTGCGGTGGCGTCGTAAACAATTGCCGCGCATAACAACATCGAGCGAAATATGAGGAAGTTGGAGTAAGCCAGGGGGGCCAGTTGAGATTCGATGCCGCCTTCGGCGTTCAGGCCACTCCTGGGGTATCGGGCCGCGTTCTGCCGCGCATGGGGGGCCGCTGTCGGGCCTCAGGGCCGTCAACATTGGACCCAGCTGCGCCCAAGAAGCCACGGCCGCACTCGAGATGCCTGGTGCCCGCGGATTGGGCAGATCATTTTGTCGGATGTGTGTTCAGACGAGCGGGAAGTCATGATCGGAATTTGGAGCATATGCGTTACCAGTGGCGGTTTGTTTTTTCAGTCCCACGACTTTTGAGGTTCGGCGACGACGTCGGGGTGGTGAGGTGTATACTTGTTTCCCCGTTTCCCCGTCGCAAGAACGAGACATGCTTACACCAATACCCCGTATACACCAGGATCCGCTTTCCTGTGCGAGTTTCGGTGCGGGGCTGGAAACTGCGTCGGCGGGAGGATGAGGAAGAGGAGGAAGAGAAGCTGCTCCCTTGTTGCTCATCGACTTCGAGGCGACTGATCCACAGGTACACAACAGAGAGTTGATATAGAAGCTGCCACTAAGCCTGTCGCTGGCGCGCTATGCGCCCATCCACCTGCATTCGGCGATGCACGAACCCGAGACGTTTCTTGCCGTCGCTCCGCGCGGCCAGGCGCGACTGGCGGAGCGCGGGCGGCGGAGGGCCGCCAGAGACTCCAGAGCTCCCAGGGGAATGCCCTCGGAAACTCGAGCATATCCATGACCAGCGGCGGGCTCTGTCTCAATCCCAAGACTTTTTGAGGGTCGGGGACGACGTCGGGGTGGTGTAGTGTATACTTTTCCTCCGTTTTCCACGGGGAACAACGAAACATGTATACACCAGGATCCCGTATACACCAGGATCCGCGTTCCTGTGCGAATTTCAGCGCAGGGTCGGAAAAAAAACGTCGTTGCACAGAGTTCGTTCCCCTATCCAGAGCTCCCAAGGAAGTATCCTGAGTCAGGCGCAGCGTGTCTCGTGTGTCTCTCGGGCGGCGACCACCTCAGAGGGCAGCCATTTCACGCCCACACTCGCTCCGCTCACTCTGTCCCCAGGCTCTACGCCCACACTCACTCCCCGCACTCTGCGCCCACACTCAGCACGGTCATCCGGCACTATCGCCAAACACGGCCATCCAACACAGTCGCCCAACGCAGTCCCATCAGTCTTTGTCCTTGACGTGCACGCGAGGAGCAGGACAGCAGAGTGGTGCTCTTCGACGAGCCGACGTCCTCAGTCGACGCGGCGACGGACCAGAGGGTACAGGAGGCCCTCCGCACCAGGTTCGGCACGAGCACGGTGCTGACGGTGGCCCACAGGCAGGCAGGGGGCCGAGACTTCCAACGTGAGGAAGCAGCGAGGTGGAGGTTTGTCACCGTTCTCGGCCTTTGCGGTGCCCTCGCTGGACCGTGGGACCGTCAAGAACGAACTCCGGACGAGGAACGTGTCCCCGGGAAGGGGTCGCGACTCCCGGGGACCCAGCGTTACGATCTAGGCTTCCTGGATGGTGTCCGAGTAGATGGGGTCGGAGGATCGCGCCGCATCGTCGATGCATCGGCGATGCGGCTCGATGTAGGGCCAAATTTTCCCCACGCTGACGTCGCCGATGCATCGCTGATGTCGCTGATGCATCGCCGATGCATCGCCGATGCATCGCTGATGCATCGCCGATAAATCGGCGATGCATTGGCGATGTGGCGCGATCCTTCGACACCGTCTACTCGGACCCCATCTAGGAGGCCTTTATACAAACACAAGACACTGGAAATCTGGGGGTCACAGTCGAAGTCCGTCCGATGTGCACAGCCTGGCCTTGGCCAGCCCGGGCCTCGGGTCTGACCGGATTCGCTGGCTTCGTCGACGCGGACGTTGTCTTCTTGAGACAGAAGGTTGCTTGCACAACAGCGGCCGTTGTTGGTTTTGGACAACGTTCGCTGGTGGGCGTCGCGCCTATTTTGTCCGAAGTTATTTCGAGGGGGTCCACTATTTCCCCCCATCCGTGGGTTCTTCCCTAAAAGTTGGCCAGGCAGAAAAAATAAGAGGACTCTGTTGATACACCCCCTGAGGGCCATCTGGACGCAGGCCCTATCGATGATGGATTTCCTTGATTGTGTATCAGCTGGAGGGTTTCTCCGAAGGGCTTAGGCGACCCGTCCTCCTCCACCTCCTCCTCCTTCTCTCCCCCTCCTTCACCCCCTCCTATTCCTCCTCCCCCTCCCCCTCCTCCTGCTCCTCCTCCTCCTCCTCTTCCTCCTCCTCGGATCCTTAGGGGGGGGTTTTCGGAAACCCACTTTTCAGCCTCATCCACATCTCAGAAATGGGATTTCCAGCTGGTCAGCTATAACAGCAATTTGTGGTCCACGGCTCAGATTCACATGGAATGGGCTCGGAACGAGAAGGAGACTGTGTACGATGCCTTACTTTTCAAGAACATAGGCTGGAACATGAACAGATCAAAGCGGCTCGCAGTTGGTGTCCCAAAGCTGGATACATGTCATGGTTCGCGGAGGCGGCGCGAACGGGAGCAGGACGCCGCGAGACGTCTGGAGGGACGGCCATCCTATGTAAGGCACATTTTGGCAGCAACGGCCACGGGCAGAGCTGCTGGTTTGAGAGGCTCTGCATGGTCAAGATCATGGTGCACCAGTCTTTCCCCTTCCTTTTTGTCTCAGTGTACGACCACACCACGCTTGGGCTCTCAGGCGCCAACACCACTTTCTTAGAGGAGCTCAGTGAAGCGGTGGCCTCGGCGGGCTGCCCGTTTGTCATCGGCGGTGTCTGGAACATCGATGCAGAGCAGCTGATTGCATCCCAATGGGCAAATCACCTTGGGGCGACAGTGGTCAGGCCCCCAGGAGCGACGTGCCACAGTAACTGCTACGGTTTTTTTGTAGTCAGCCGCTGTCTAAAATATCATGTTCAGGCGTGCATTGAGCAGCCAGACACGCCAGTTGGGCCGCATTCTGCAGTTGTGCTTCAACTTAGGCAGGTAGCTGGACAGGCCAAAGTGTGGCAGCGCGTGGTGCCTCCCAGTTTCCCGCTGCCCAAGGATGATGAGGAGAAGACCCGCATGCAGTGTGACCCCAGCCAACAGCCGCCCCTCTTTGATTGGGCTTCTCTCTCGCCCCACGCAGCGATGGAGCAGTGGTTCGACGCTGCGGAGTCGGCGCTTGGCCGCCTGCATGGGCTAGATGACAAGCAGTTTTTTGGCCGAGCCAAGGGTTGCCAGGTTCAGTTAGTGCCGCTAGAAGCAGCGTGGGGTCAGGAACTGCACAGGCGCTCCCTCCCTGGTACCCAACGTTGGTTGTCTTTGAGGCGCTTGACCTTGCAGTATATGAAGACGGCGACTGGCGGCCGACGGCGGCTCCTGCTAGATTCGGCCAGGCCGCTGCAAGACCTGCTGGAGGAGGTTGAGGAACCTCTGCTCGCGCGACTGTCGGTGGCTGAACTTTTTCAGGGCCTAGAGGGTCCCGGCCGCGTGGGCTTAGTGAATGCCATTCAGCTCGTAGTTGACAGTAGAGTGCGGCAGGAGACAGCGGAAGGCCGAAAGAAGTGGAGGTCGTGGGCTCAGTCGTCGGTCGGTCGTGGAGGTCGGGCGGCTCGCAGGTACTCGAAAGGCCCCGCTCCGCCTCCTTTGCCAGTTCTTGAGGACGAAGAGTTTACTGAGCAAGTAGGAGGTCCCAGGCCGCTTGTAGGGCAGGCGGCACTTGATCACATTTTGCACGATTGGAACCCGATCTGGACCAACCCAGCGCGCGACGCTGAATGCCTCCCGAGTGGGTGGTCGGTCCCTGAGGACCTGCCGCCGATCACGGCTGACCAAGTGCTTGAAGCGGCGGCGTCTTTTAGCCCCTCGACGGCCCTGGGCTGGGACTCCTTCAGCCCGCGTCTCCTTCTTCAGCTCCCCAGGCCTCTGGTTGAAGCTTTCGCGCGGATTTTTCACGGCTTGGGAGCGGCATCCTGTGGTAGGGCCCCTCTGGATGGTCTTGGTGGTCTTTCTAGACAAGCCCACGGGAGGGGTGAGGCCCATAGGGCTGCTTCCCCTCTGGGCCAGAGTCTGGAGCCGCATTCGGCATGGGCTCTGTGCGGCCTGGGAACGAACGGTGGATGCGACATTTTTCTGGGGGCTCAGCTCGAGCACGGCTTGCGACGAGAGTGCGCGGGTCCACAATGGTCTGAACGCCTGCGCGCGCACCGTCCCAGGTCTGTCCACGGCGACACTTTTTCTTGACCTGCGCAAATTTTACGAACACCTTTCGCACGAAGAGCTGCTGGCAGCGGCCCAGGCTAGCTCATTTCCGATAGCGCTCTTGCGGGCGTACTGTTGCCTTTATCGAGGCCCGAGGCGAGTGACTTGGCAGGGCGCGATCAGTCGAGTGATCCAGCCGGACGGCACGGTCATTGCCGGCTGCTCGGGGGCCACCACGTTTGCCAGGCTGCTGTTGCTTGGGGCGCTGCGCAAGGCCATGGTTGGCAACCCGACAGTGCGCACTAAGAACGTCATTGACGACGTCTCGCTACATGCAGTCGGTGGTGAGACAGTCATCACGCGTGAGCTGGCAGCTTCGTTTCGGTCTGTGACGACGGACCTGCAGCGCATGGGCCTGCCCATTGCCATGAACCAGCTAGTTATGCTTGCTTCCTCCTCGGCGCTGGCGCAGGAGTTGTCCAGGCAGTGCGATTTGCCTGCCGGGGTGCGCGCCCAGGTTCACGGGGACCTTGGCGGGGACGCCACTGATGGCGCCAGGCGGCGCGCGAGCACCCAGCACGAGCGATTTGTGGAGTCCCAGCAGAAAGCGGCGAAGGTCCTCGCGCTTCGAGCGGCTGGGGCTCCGTGTGGCACCAGTTTTAGGGCAGGCGTCGCGTCGAAGGCCCTCTGGGGAGCCAACATCCAGGGCCTCTCCAATGGCAAGCTGAAGCAAGTTTGGCTGGCCGCTGTTAGGGCGGAAGGGAGGCTCCCCAAAGGGGCTCCCTTGAGTTGGCCTCGATGTGTGTGAGGGGGGGGTTGGGTTCGGGATCCTTTGGTCATCCTAACGGCCGATGCTCTCCGCACCTACGGCCAGACCTAGCACCTGTGGTGGTGCAGTCCCTTTTCTCCAGTGGCCAGGAGTTGCTTCAGTTGTCCAGACCTTGGGCCCGCGTTCGAGACCCCACTGCGGCCCTCCTTCTCACGTGTTCTCGCGTGGGCCTTGTTTTTTGAGAACCCGTGGACCTTGAAGGAGGCCACGGGGGAGGTTTGGCATCTTCGCCATGTCTCCCCAGCGTTCCTGGCCATGAGGGCCCGATTCGCTGTTCGGCGTTTCTCGGGCAAGGAAGGATTGGCCAATATCGACCATGGTCAGGGCTGGTTTGGGGGCATGTGTTGGCTGCCCTTGAACGAGCTTCTGCATAGACGCTGGAAGCTTGATGAGGACGACAGTGGGAGGGACGGGCGGCGGGGGATTCGTGAGCAGAGGACTCCCCGAGGTCTCGTGATTGGCTCGCATTGGTGCCAAGCGCGACTTCACAGGCATGACCCTGCCCTGCCGTCGCACTGTCTCCTATGTGGGGAAGCAATCGGCAGCTGGTTCCACTGTCATTTTGATTGCCCCGCTAGGCTAAGCTGGCGTCGAGACAATCTGCCGCAGGACCTGGGCGGCCCAGTGCAGCGTTTGCGGTTAGGGCCAGCGCACTTGCAAGAGAGGTTCGCCAGGGGGATCCCTCCCGCCCCTTGCCAAGTTTTCTCCCGACCTGGGCGGGGCCCTGAGTGGGGGTTCAAGGTTGAAGGACAAGCGGCGCCGCTGGCGCTGGATGGTGGCCATGTTTTTTTGCGATGGCTCTGGGGTCGATGGTCTCTTCCCGTCCTTTAGGGTTGCTGGTTGGGGTGTGGCGGTTTTCGACCATGATCGCCGACCATTGGCGGGGTGGCACGGGGCGGCCCCCCCGCCACAAGGCCCCGACCAGGTAGCCAGAGACGGGGAGGATTACGCCATCCTGATGGCCTTGAGACATCTAGTAGGCAGGTACACGATTTATTCCGATTGCAAAGGCACAATTCAGTGTTGTCAGAATGCCAGATATGCGCAGAGAGAAGGCAACACCCGGGCACACATCTGGAAGGAGGCGTTCCGTGAAGGAACGCCCGCTCTGGTGAGTTTTTGCGAGGTGGCGGCCCACGCGTCGATGACAGATGCGCGCGAAGGGCGGATCAGCCACTCTGAGAGGGGGGGCAATGCCGAAGCTGATCGACTTGCGAAGTTGGGTGCGGAGCTACGTCGTTGCCCGTCCAATGTGGTCATGATGTCCAAAGGCATGATCCATGTCTCACGCCTGCTCCTTCAGTTCATTAGTAGGGCTGAAGGCCACTCTGTGCAGGAAGGCAGGTGGGACAACGCTGGAGCCCAGGGGCTTACAGAGATCTCCCTGGAGGGGGGATCCGACTTTGAGGAGGCACTTGGGGAGGCGACGAGGAGGCAGGAGGAGGGCGGTGACGAGGTTGCTGCTGCTCCTGCTCCTCCTCCCGACGATCCTCCACCGCCCTCGAGACCTCCATCTGAGCCCTTGGTGCCCGAGTTGCTGGCGCTGGCAGCGGATGCCCGCCAGACCCCTGCCTTCATTGGAGGGCATGCTTTGCTTCAGTTCGCGGCTGAAGATAACAAGCCTCCCATTCTTTTTTGTTCGACCTGCGGGGGGTATGCCACGGTGTCTGCGGGATCCAGAGGCCTACGAAAGAGCTGTGGAGGGTCCCAGCAGGCCTTGGTTGACCCAGGCAGGAAGAACTATCGGGCTGTCTGCAATGGCAAGCACCCCAAGAGGCCTCTCAAATTGGGCTCTTGGCGAACTCCCGGGGCTTGGGCGCGAGAGCTGGTTGGGGGGGATTCGGAGTCCAAGACGGCCCAGAAGAGAGAAGGGGGTTTTTCCAGGGCCAGTTCGGACCCACCTGCACGTGCATTTTTGTGCCTGGCAGATGTCCTGCAAGCGTTTGGACTTAATGAGTTCGAAGCCGCTGAATTGGGACCGAAGCTACAGGAGCGAACCCCAGACAATGATCTGGAGGAAGAAGAACTGGGCGGTTAGATACCCATGGGGGGCCCTGTCGTTGGCCCCTGGCAGGTCTTTGGCCTTCCTGCCAGGGTGACAAAAAGTTCTCCCCTGATGGGCCCCCCTGGGTTTTCTGGACCGTCGGACTTTCTCGCCCCCCTTTCCCCGTAGTGGCGTGCGATCCTTTTCCTCCTCCTCCTCCTCCTCCTCCTCCTCCCCTCCTCGGGTCGCTTACGGCCCCGGGGGAAACCGTCCAAGTGACCTTGAACAGGAGCGGTGCGGGCACACATGGGTCCCACCAACGCTGGCTGACTCGCCTGGATCGCTTAGATTTGGCCTCTTCCACGGCCCCCACACAGCCGCGCGCCAGAGGTCACGCTTGCCTGGGATCACTCCTGCGCGCGGAGGGTCTCGCGTTCCTGGAGGGCGTTCTTCTGCCCTAGGTCCGACTGTAGCCGGCGGCCGCCCGAGGGTTCTGATCTCAGCACGGGTTTGGCTTGCGCGATGTTCGCGTAGCAGTAAACTTCCAGCTAGCCGGCCATGTCTGCAATGCCACGGCCTCGCCCGCTCCGCCCTGAATGGGCCGGGGCGATTGCCCGCGCGAGCGTCCCATTCCATTCCATTCCACTCTTGCGCGCGCCCGACTGTGCAGCAGCCTGGGGCCCCAGGATGGACCTGGCCCCGGGCTGTTGCACAGTCGTTCGGCTCCCAATGGTGGAGCGGAGGGCTTCGCTGGAGCCGCTCGCCTTAAGTCGGGCCCGTCCCTCTACCGGGCGAGTGTTCAAAATTACGCCACCGAGGAACCCCACATACATAATTTAAATCTTATGTGTTTGATTAAGTATATATTATATATATGCACAGTCCTGCGTTCTGGGCCTTCGCCGCGAATGTTCCCTGCTAGGCTTTGCGCCAGTGTCGTGGATAGCGGCCGAGCTGAGAGACCACCCCATGCGCACCTCGTTTGGTGTCGAGAAAATGCCACGCCTGCTAGCCTTCGCGCCAGTGTCGTGGATAGCGGCCGAGCTGAGAGACCACCCCTTGCGCACCCCCTGCGGTGTCGAGAAAGTGCGTCTGCTAGCCTTTGCGCCAGTGTCGTGGATAGCGGCCGAGCTGAGAGACCACCCCCTGCGCACCGCCTGCGGTGTCGAGAAAGTGCCACGGCTGCAAAGCTTTGCGCCAGTGTCGTGGATAGCGGCCGAGCTGAGAGACCACCCCCTGCCCACCCCTTGTGGTGTCGAGAAAGTGCCACGCCTTCTAGGCTTTGCGCCAGTATCGTGGATGGCGGCCGAGCTGAGAGACCACCCCCTGCCCACCCCCTGTGGTGTCGAGAAAGTGCCACGCTTGCTAGGCTCTGTGCCAGTGTCGTGTCGGCCGAGCTGAGAGACCACCCCTTGCCCACCCCCTTTGGTGTCGAGAAAGTGCCACGCCTGCTAGGCCTTGCGCCAGTGTCGTGGATAGCGGCCGAGCTGAGAGACCAACCACCACTTGCGCACCCCCTGTGGTGTCGCGAAAGTGCCACGCCTGCGAGGCTTTGCGCCAGTGTCGTGGATAGCGGCCGAGCTGAGAGACCACCCCCTGCCCACCCCCTGTGGTGGCGAGAAAGTGCCACGTCTGGTAGGCTTTGCGCCAGTGTCGTGGATAGCGGCCGAGCTGAGAGACCACCCCCTGCGCACCTCGTGTGGTGTCGAGAAAGTGCCACGCCTGCTAGGCTTTGCGCCAGTGTCGTGGATAGCGACCGAGCTGAAAGACTTGCGCCCAGCTAGGCTTTGCGCCAGTGTCGTGGATAGCGGCCGAGCTGAGAGACCACCCCCTGCCCACCCCCTTTGGTGTCGAAAAAGTGCCACGCCTGCTAGGTTTTGCGCCAGTGTCGTGGATAGCGGCCGAACTGAGAGACCACCCCCTGCGCACCCCCTGTGGTGCCGAGAAAGTGCCACGCCTGCTAGGCTTTGCGCCAGTGTCGTGGATAGCGGCCGAGCTGAGAGACCACCCCCTCCGCACCCCCTGTGGTGTCGAGAAAGTGCCACGCTTGCTAGGCTTTGCGCCAGTGTCGTGGATAGCGGCCGAGCTGAGAGACCACCCCCTGCCCACCCCCTTTGGTGTCGAGAAAGTGCCACGCCTGCTAGGCTTTGCGCCAGTGTCGTGGATAGCGGCCGAGCTGAGAGACCACCCCCTGCGCACCCCCTGTGGTGTCGAGAAAGTGCCACGCCTGCTAGGCTTTGCGCCAGTGTCGTGGATAGCGGCCGAGCTGAGAGACCACCCCCTGCGCACCCCCTGTGGTGTCGAGAAAGTGCCACGCCTGCTAGGCTTTGCGCCAGTGTCGTGGATAGCGGCCGAGCTGAGAGACCACCCCCTGCGCACCCCCTGTGGTGTCGAGAAAGTGCCACGCCTGCTAGGCTTTGCGCCAGTGTCGTGGATAGCGGCCGAGCTGAGAGACCACCCCCTGCGCACCCCCTGTGGTGTCGAGAAAGTGCCACGCCTGCTAGGCTTTGCGCCAGTGTCGTGGATAGCGGCCGAGCTGAGAGACCACCCCCTGCGCACCCCCTGTGGTGTCGAGAAAGTGCCACGCCTGCTAGGCTTTGCGCCAGTGTCGTGGATAGCGGCCGAGCTGAGAGACCACCCCCTGCCCAAGTTGTGCGAGAAAGTGGCCTGCCAGGCTTTGCTCCAGTGTCGTGGATAGCGGCCGAGCTGAGAAATCACCCCCTGCGCACCCCCTTGTGGTGTCGAGAAAGTGCCACGCTTGTTAGGCTTTGCGCCAGTGTCGTGGATAGCGGCCGAGCTGAGAGACCATCCCCTGCGCACCCCCTGTGTGTCGAGAGAGTGCCACGCCTGTTAGGCTTTGCGACAGTGTCGTGGATAGCGGCCGGGCTGAGAGACCACCCCCTGCCCACCCCCTTGTGGTGTCGAGAAAGTGCCACGCCTGCTAGGCTTTGCGACAGTGTCGTGGATAGCGACCGAGCTGAGAGACCACCCCCTGCGCACCCCGTGTGGTGTCGAGAAAGTGCCACGCCTGCTAGGCTTTGCGCCAGTGTCGTGGATAGCGGCCGAGCTGAGAGACCACCCCCTGCGCACCCCGTGTGGTGTCGAGAAAGTGCCACGCCTGCTAGGCTTTGCGCCAGTGTCGTGGATAGCGGCCGAGCTGAGAGACCACCCCCTGCGCACCCCCTGTGGTGTCGAGAAAGTGCCACGCTTGCTAGGCTTTGCGCCAGTGTCGTGGATAGCGGCCGAGCTGAGAGACCACCCCCTGCGCACCCCCTGTGGTGTCGAGAAAGTGCCACGCCTGCTAGCCTTTGCGCCAGTGTCGTGGATAGCGGCCGAGCTGAGAGACCACCCCCTGCGCACCCCCTGTGGTGTCGAGAAAGTGCCACGCCTGCTAGGCTTTGCGCCAGTGTCGTGGATAGCGGCCGAGCTGAGAGACCACCCCCTGCGCACCCCCTGTGGTGTCGAGAAAGTGCCACGCCTGTTAGGCTTTGCGCCAGTGTCGTGGATAGCGGCCGAGCTGAGAGACCACCCCCTGCCCACCCCCTTTGGTGTCGAAAGTGCCACGCCTGCTAGGCTTTGCGCCAGTGTCGTGGATCGTGGATAGGGACCGCGGTGAAAGACCACCCCCTGCGCACCCCCTGTGGTGTCGAGAAAGTGCCACGCCTGCTAGGCTTTGCGCCAGTGTCGTGGATAGCGGCCGAGCTGAGAGACCACCCCCTGCGCACCCCCTGTGGTGTCGAGAAAGTGCCACGCCTGCTAGGCTTTGCGCCAGTGTCGTGGATAGCGGCCGAGCTGAGAGACCACCCCCTGCCCACCCCCTTTGGTGTCGAGAGAGTGCCACGCCTGCTAGGCTTTGCGCCAGTGTCGTGGATAGCGGCCGAGCTGAGAGACCAACCCCTGCGCACCCCCTGTGGTGTCGAGAAAGTGCCGCGAACTATGCTGTGCTGAGCTGAGCTGAGCCGTGCTGGGCTGTGCTGAGCTGTGCTGAGCTGCGCAGCGTGCTGAGCTGAGCTGAGCTGTGTGCTGAGCTGTGCTGTGATGTGCTGTGCTGTGCTGTGCTGAGCTGAGCTGTGCTGTATGAAGAGTGAGGTGTGTGTCGCGGGTGCGGCGCGGCAGGGAAGAAAACCAGAACCCCACGAAGCATGTGGGAAATAGTAAAAAGTAGTCAGGGGACAATCGTTTGAGCATTTGTTTGTATTTTTCATCCTTCGTCGAAAATCCCCCTGTCGGGGGGACACGCCCGACTTACACACAGGCTGCAGACGGTGGTGGGTGCCGACCGCATCCTGGTGCTGGACGCCGGCCGCGTGGTGGAGTTCGGCCCGCCCTGCGAGCTGCTCGCGGACGAGTCATCCCGATTCGCGGCCCTCGCGAGGGAGGCGATCTGGGCGGGCAATGGGTGTATCCACATCCAGTGCGTCTTGGAGCTCTGGGCTCTCTCCCCCAGAGACCGGAGGCGCACTGGACATGGACAAACATCTTGCCCCAGAAGGTTTTTGATGTTTATCCATATCCAGTGTGGTTCGGCCTTGCGGCACCCCTTTTCAACAAGTCCACGGCCCTCTGGATATGGATATCTACCTAGATTTTTCTGGAGGGCCGCTCGGGGGAGAACCCGACCTTGGTACGAACACTTTCATTGTGGGTGTGGCCGTCTGGCACGCCCACAGCGTCCACCAGTGCTAGACTGGTTTCGGTGGTCTGGCGACTGTTGGCATACGCAAGGCTTTCCCCAGGGTGAGTCCTCGACGTGGTTGTGGTCGCTTGCTGTCCCCGCAAGGCGGGCGACTTTCGCGGGCCTGAGAAGGCACCTCCCTCTCCCGCCGCCGCTCCGCCCCCTCTTCCTCCCCAGACCTCCGACGGCGTGAGCGATGTAGCGACGCGCCTTCGGGCGCTCCTGCTGGCCCCGGAGGCCGTTCTGGCGGGTACGTGCCCTCGTCGCGGTGCCCCAGTTCGGGGTTTCGTAGAGGGAGGGTTATCCCAAGGTGGGGCTGGGCAACGGGCCCAGCTGGATGCTCCCGTTGAACGCTTTTTCTTCTTCCAGGGCCGTTCAGAGCGATTTTCCTTCCTACCCCACCTTTGCCACAACCCCACCTGTGTGCCCCCCCGACCACAGGAAGAAGCCTCCTGTGCGAGCGTGCGTCACTTGCAGGGGCCGGGCTCCTGGAGGCCCGGTCCTGAAGCCCTGGCGCCAGCAGGCCACGACCCTGGGCGACGGACCGGTCCCGGGAACGGGGTCCAGAGCTCCTGCAGAGCTCGGCGGACGTCGTGTGGTCGGCCAGGGAGCCCATGATGATAGGCTTGTTTTCCACCACCACCACCACCACCACCATAAGTTGAAGGGGGAGGGGGTGCTCCTCCTCCTCCACCTCCTCCTCCTCCTCCTCCTTCGTCATCCTCCTTCGTCCTCCTCCTTCTCCTCCTCCAAATTCCCTCCCCGCTCCAACTTATGGTGGTGGTGGTGGTGGTGGAAGGAAGGCCCATCACATGGACTCGGCGGAGGAATCGGGGGGTGGTACAGGCGCTCGAGCGTCCCACAGGCTGGAAAGCAGCCGGGGCGTCCATACTCAGGAGGGGAAGCAACACACAGACACAATTAATCGTCGATTCCCAGGAAAATGTGGAAACATATGGGAACTGGGGGGGAAGACAAACACCCAGAAAATATGCAAAAATATGGGGAATCCGGTTATTTGTATGTATTTGTTCATGTGTCCCAGGGCCCCTTCATATACACCGAGCTCCTCGGCCGACCAGACTGCATGGCGTATACACCGAGTGCCTCCCAGGGGCCTACGTCGGGCAGGGGTCACGGCGCCAGAGGTCTGGGCTTTCCTCGCCCCCCTCGCGCGAAGAAGTGGTTCGTCTGCACGCAGTAGGTGGGCTCGCGTTGCCGCCGGCTGGGTCTTTCTGCGGCCGGCTGCCAGGCTGGGGACGGCCCCTCCGATAATCATTGCCTATCGATGTGTGTAGCCGCCGGGCCGTTGAGAGTCAGGGTGAGGGTCGAAAGTTGGTATAGAGCTTCAGTCTGCGAAGTTCATCATTCAGCGAATTGCCGCTTTGGGGTTCTCGAGAGCGTGTTGGGCGTGTTGGGGCCACATTTTTTGTCAGGCCGCGCCCGCCCGGTTTGGTCCTAGGTCGCTTCCACTGAAGGGTGTTTTGCTAAAAAGGGGTCTGTCCACCATGTTCTTTTGCGCGTGGCTGGAGCCAGGCTCCGCACTGTGGGTCGTCATCGTTGTCATTATTGTTGGTCATTACTATCATTTGCACTCTTACTACGACTCATCTTAGCATTTGTAGTTCTACGACGATCATGTTTGTGATTAAATCATCAGTATTCTTAATATTATGTTCGTGTTAGCGTCGCCCGCCTCGCGACGTGCACCGTGACACACCCACCCGCGACCCACATTTGAGACCCCCGCCCGCGACTAGCTGTCACTTCCGCTGCAACAGAAATCGTCTGCTTCGGGCAACTTGTGGCTCGAGATCGAGTTTGCGCCTGCGAGTTGTGGTTCTTCACGTTGGCCATTAGCTCTCCAGCCCTGTGATCCGCCGACGACTCAACCCGCGACCCGCCCACTTTGTTTTGCATTCGGTGCCCTCTGCGGCCTGCTTGTTTCGAAAGAGACGGCGCCTGCTATATTACTTTAAACCCCGCAGGCGCCCCCTCTTTTCACGTCTGCAATTCGGAGTACCCTGTTTTTCTGCACTTGCGAGGGTCGAAGGGCCTTCCTTCTTCCTTCCTTCGTCGGGGGACGGGTCGAACGCACTATGCACTAGGAACACATTCCTTCTCCATGTGGATGGACTGTATTCCAACCGACGCGTACGCCACCGCGCGGAGGGGTGCTTGGGGGGTTTGGAGACTCTGGGGGAATTCATGGTAGGGCGTACTACGTCATGCCTACTCTCACCTGCGCATGTCTTCGGGGGCCAAAAGCATGGAAATTTGGTGGAGACAGCGAACGCCTCGATGTGACGGGGCTCACATCAAGGGCAGCGCTACGGGGGGATGCGCTCCAAGGGGGACGCACCGACCCGCAATCGCCTACTGATAGCCGGTGGAGGTCAGATAGCCAGCTCCGCCCAGGACCCAGCGGATTTGCCTATGGGGGCCCATCGCCGATCCGTCGGCGATGTGTTGCCGATTCGAGCTCGATCTTCCCCCCCCTGAATTGGCCCCCCCCCCCGCGTTGCCCCCCAACCCAGCCGCGGATTCAGCCGCGGCTTCGCAGGATGCAGCATTCACCCCACCTCCTCCTCCTCCTCCTCCTCCTCCTCCTCCTCCTCCTCCTCAGAGAAGGCCCGACGCGCAGAAGCCGCGGTGTACCGCGGTGGCGGATCTCGGACCGCGGTGCCGCGGGCCACCGCCCGCCGCGCCGGCACCGCGGCGGCCGCGCCCTCGGCTGCCGCTGGCGATTTTTCTAGACCCAGACGCTCGAAGGACCACCGGCGGGCTGTGCTCGCCCTGGGTGTTGCGGCTCTCACAGGGTTTTTGCCCCTGGGAAGGCGGACATGGGGACGGCGAGCTTCGCCTTGCTCCTATTTCGGTGGGCGGCTGAGTTCAAAGTTGAAAGGTTCTTGGGTCTGGTTCTCGATGACATGTCAATACTGATTCTGGTGGGCGTCCAGGCAGGTTCCACGGACACCAAGGTAGAGCTTACACAGAGTAGCAGAGCCTTGAGACAGGAGGGGAAAAACAAAGACACAATGAGTCGTCGAGCCCCAGGAAGATATGGCAAAATATGGGAGGTGGGGGGAAGACGAAGACCCAGAAAATAGGGGAAATCCTGTTGTTTGTGTCCATTTATTCAATCGCTTCGCTCATTCCGCCGGCCCATACAGTCTCATGTCTGCCGTTTGCCCGAGGGCCTGGTGTCAATGCGGCGCTTTGGGGGTTCCTGGGGCCGCTTGGGGGACTCCTGGGGCGCTCGGGGGGGCATTTGGGGGGCCTCCTGGGGCCGCTTGGGGGACTCTTGGGGGCCTCCTGAGGGCCTCGTGGGGGCCTCTTGGGGCCTCTTAGGGGCCTCGGGGCCTCGTAGGGGCTTCTTAGGGCCGAGGGCTCGAAATGTTGTTTCGTGTTCCCTCTCTGGGGCCCCTTTGGGGGCGTTCTTGGGGCCCTCTTGGACCGTCTTGGAGGCTTCTTGGGCCGTCTTCGAGCCCTCTTGGGCCATCTTGGGGCCCTCTTGGGGGCCTCTTGGGCCCTCTTGGGGCGATCTTGGGGGCCTCTTGGGCCGTCTTGGGGCGTCGGGAAGCCGAAAAGGTGGAAGCTCCAAAATCTTTCAAAAACCTAAGGAAAAACAATGAATTTTGCCTCCGGGGGCCCTCTTGGGAGTGCTCTTGGAGGCCTCTTGGGGCGTCTGGGGGCTATCTTGGGCGTCTTGGAGCGATCTTGTGGCATGTCGGACCCCTCGTGTACCATCTTGGGCGCCTCTTGGGGGCCTCTTGGCCTTTCTCGGGGCTCTCGGGGACGTCTCGGAGCCCTGTTGGTGCGCTCATGGAGCGCTCCTGGAGCGCTCTGGGGGAGTCTCCCGGGGGTCGGTCGGGGATCGCCGGGGGTACTTTTAGTCCGGGGACCCCCAGGGGCCGCCCCGCGCGCGCGAACTAGAGAATTGTTAACCAGTTACCGGAGATCTTAGCACGCCTCTGGCCCGTTGGGCCGGCGAATTTGCGTGTCCCAGGGCCCCTTCATTGAGACGGGGGTCAATGTAAACGGGGGTCAGTCAGAGCGCCCCGATCTTGCAGGATCCTGCAAGGCCAGGGTCGCACTGACCCGGGTTTGGGTGCAGGATCATGCAGGATTTTGCAGGATCTTTCGCATTGACCTTGGCTTGGGTGCAGGATCTGGCAGGATCTTGCAAGGCCTGACTGACCCTGGTCTGGATTGACCTGGGTCAGAAGGTCCCCGATTGGAGCCGGCTGGGGTGTTGAGGTGGCCCATTAGTTCTTCCAGCCAGCAGGCCGGAGGGATCAGGGTCACCTTCGTCGCCATGGCTGGACGCAGCTTGAACAACGGGCCAGGCTGAAACTCGGAGGGGTCTGGGGACCGATCTTGAGCGCGCTCGCCCTCGTCCCCCCTCTTGGCCGATGTTCTCGACGCCTACCCAGCTCAGGTCCCCCGGCCACCTCCAAGTCCCAGCCGCCCCCGTCTGTCGCGTACAGGCCTGCGACCCATCTCCTCCTCCCCTTCCTCCTCCTCCTCCTCCTCCTCCTCCTCCTCCTCCTCCTCCTCCTCCTCCTCCTCCTCCTCCTCCTCCTCCTCTCCTCCTCCTCCTCCTCCTCCTCCTCCTCCTCCCTCCTCCTCCTCCCCTCCTCCTCCTCCTCCTCCTCCTCTCCTCCCTCCTCCTCCTCCTCCTCCTCCCTCCTCCTCCTCCTCCTCCTCCTCCTCCTCCTCCTCCTCCTCCTCTCTCCTCCTCCTCTCCTCCTCCTCCTTCCTTCCTCCTCCCTCCTCCTCGTCCTCATCCTCTCCTCCTCGTCCTCCTCCCCCTCCGCCGAGGCCCAACTGTCGCTGGCGATTTTTCCAGGCGCGGGCGTCTGAAGGGGCGCCTCCTCCTCCTCCTCTCCTCCTCCTCCTCCTCCTCCTCCTCCCCATCCCTCCTCCTTCTCCTCCTCCTCCATCCTCTCCTCCTCCTCCTCCTTCTCCTCCTCCCCTCCTCCTCCTCCTCCTTTCCCCCCTCCTTTCTCCTCCTCCTCCTCCTCCTCCACCTCCTCCTGCTCCTCCTCCTCCTCCTCTTCCTCCTCCTCCTCCTCCTCCTCATCCTCCTCCTCCTCCTCCTCCTCCTCCCCCCTCCGCCGAGGCCCAACTGCCGCTGGCGATTTTTCCAGGCGCGGGCGTCCGAGATTCGCCAGAGGGCTGCCCCAGCAGCCTCCGTCTGTCGCGGACAGGCCTGCGACCCATCTCCTCCCCCCTCCTCCTCCTCATCCTCCTCCTCTTCCTTCTCCCCCCTCCGCCGAGGCCCAACTGCCGCTGGCGATTTTTCCAGGCGCGGGCGTCCGAGGGGCGCCGGAGGGCTGCCCCAGCAGCCTCCGTCTGTCGCGGACAGGCGCGGCCAGTGGCAAGGCGAAAGCGCTCCTCCGCTTCCCGGTGCCTTCTTGGCCGCATGAGGGCCCCATTGGGAGTTCGGATGCAACTCCTGGGAGGTCAAATTCTGTTTTCGCCCTGGTCCGAAATCCCGCTTAACCCCGCTTAATCCCGCTTAATCCCGTTTAATCCGGCTTAATCCCGCTTTATCCGATGCCCTCTCCGGCGTAACAGCTCCAAAATGGGGCTTAATCCTCTTGAATCCTTCCGACGAAAACCTCCCAGTAGTTGCCTCCGAGCCTCCGCTTCCTGGTGCCTTCTTGGCTGCCGGTGACTGCTGCTCGCGTGTTGTGCCTCCTCCCTGTGAGATCTGCCCTTTCCCGGCAGCCGTCTCCCTCTCCTTGTGAAAGTCGGTCAATGGAGAGGAAGCATGCTGCCAAATTATTTCCAGCTGTCTAAACGATGTTTCAAACTTGTTTTAATATGTTAAAAACATGTTTGAACCGTGTTGTATATCATGGTTTACACATTTTAGTCACATTGATATTTCAATGATCGGATTGTTAGAGTGTCCATTGTCATGGCATCCACGACTCTCTCTCCCTTTCCCCCCATTTTCGGTTGAAGATCGCCAAATATTCAATGACTCCGATCCCGGCTGCGCCCATCCTACTGCAGGACTTGTTCGGCGAGGACATTCGTGAGCCCCCATAACGGTTCGGCGACCACACCGTGTGGTGAGTCAATCAGGATTCGGGGTGACCGTACGGTTTTTGGATTTGGGTCGCTTTCCGATGACGTCTCGGGCGATTGGGACCTCTAAGGCCCCACAATTGTGTGGGGATTGATCGTGCGATTTGGTCTTTCGGGATTCCGACGTCACTCGTATGGTTGCGCCTGTAATGTTCTTCTGCTCCGATCTGTCGACATTGTCAACAATCCGATTCTCTGGTCCTCTTCTGTGGTTGACCCTTTTCTGATCCTCGTTATGCCGATTCTCGGAGGCTCCCAAACAGTGTGGTGACCACATCGTTTGGCGAGTCGGTGGGGATTCTGGGTCACCGCACAGTTTTGGGACTTGGGTCGGCCTCCGAGGATTGAGCGATGGGGGCCTCCGAGGTCCCAAAACCGTGTGGCGACGGAGCCGGCGGTGAGGTCTTTGCGGATTTCGAGGTCACCGCTGGGTCTGTCACCACACAGTTTCGGGACCCCCAAGATTCGAAGCACGATGCTACGTAGTAATCTTTCGTCTTCCCTTCCAGAACAATCGATTCAGTCTATGGTCAACCATGTGTGCGCGAATCTGATCGTGATTCGTTCTTCGCGGTCAGGGTCGGGGCGTTGTTGTTCTCCAGAGGTTAAGAGGGGCGGGGTGTCTTCAGGGTTCCTCTCCTCGTTCCTCCCATCGTCTCTCGTTTCTTTCTGGGAACTGGTGGTGTTATATGTGATATATAGCACCCCGCAATTGCGGATAAGAGTGAGGGGGCGGGCGCGGGCGACGCGGGCGTCGTCAAGCCGGCGGACCTCGTGGCCCCCACCTTCCTTGTCGATGGCGCTCTCCTCCTCCTCCTTCTCCTCCTCCTCCTCCTCCTCTTCCTCCTCCTCCTCCGCCTCCTACTCCTCCTCCTCCTCTTCCTCGTCCTCGTCCTCGTTCTCATCGTCATCGTCGTCCTCCTCCTCCACATCGTCCTCCTCCTCCTCCTCCTCCGCTTCTTCCTCGTCCTCCCTCTCCCCCCCTCGTCCTTCCATCATCGTCCTCCCATTGTCGTCATGTTCCTCCTCGTCGTCCTCCTCCTCTTCCCCCCCTCCCGATCCTCCACCCTCCTCCTTTTCGTCGTCGTCGTCGTCGACGTCATCGTCGTCGTCCCCTCCCTCCTCCTCCTCCTCCTGCTGCTCCTCCTCCTCCTCTCCTGCTGCTCCTCCTCCTCCTCCTCCTCCTCCTCCTCCTCCTCCTCCTCCCCCTCCTCGTCCTCCTGCAAAAGCAGCCCGCCGCAGGCGCCGAAAAAATTGGTTTGTACACTGAACGTGGTTTGGGTCGCGGGTGGGCCGCGGGTTCTCCACCGGGAACGAATGCAAAAGATGCTCGCCGCAGGCGCCGAACAAAATTGGTTTGTACCCTGAACGTGGTCGCGGGTGGGCCGCGGTCTCTCCACCTAGAACGATTCAAAAGATGCCCGCCGCAGGCGCCGAAAAATGTGGTTTGTACCCTGAACGTGGTTTGGGTCGCGGGTTGGTCGCGAGTTGATCGCGGGGTGGGTCGCGGGCTCTCCACCTGGAAGGAATGCAAAAAAAGCCCGCCGCAGGCGCCGAAAATGTTGGTTTGTACCTTGAACGTGGTTTGGGTCGAAGGTGGGTCGCGGGTGGGTCGCGGGGTGAGTCGCGGGTGGGTCGCGGGTGGGTCGCGGGTGGGTCGCGGGCGGGTCGCGGGTGGGTCGCGGGGTGGGCCGCGGGCGGGTCGCGGGGTGGGTCGCGGGTGGGTCGCGGGTGGGTCGCGGGGTGGGCCGCGGGGTGGGTCGCGGGGTGGGTCGCGGGTGGGTCGCGGGTGGGTCGCAGGGTGGGTCGCAGGGTGGGTCGCGGGGTGTGTCGCGGGGTGTGTCGCGGGGTGGGTCGCGGGTGGGTCGCGGGTGGGTTGCGGGTGGGTCGCGGGGTGGGTCGCGGGTGGGTCGCGGGGCGGGTTGCGGGTGGGACGACGACAACAAACAACAACAACAAACAACAACAACAACAACACGAATCCGCACCGCGGAATCTCACTTCAGCCACGCACCCAGGGACAATGAATGACCGTTCGGCCCCCTCACTCTGATTACTAGTGCGCGCGCGCTGGCGCCAACTAGCGCGCGCTGAGTCCTTGAGACGCTAAGTCGTTCATTGAGGCTCTGGAGGCCGCTGGATTCTGCCAATGGCTTCAAGTTAGGTCGCGTCACTGGTCCCTGCGCTCCGAAATGTAATTCGGGATATGTTCGATGGTCCCGGGGCCCGAACAGTGACACGCATGGAGGGCAGGCCAATTTTGAGTTGGGGTTCTCGCCTCGGCGCCGAGCACATTAGTGTTCGAAGTTTGCAGCAGTTACAAGAATGAAGGGCGTGTGGCTTTCAAACTTGGGCTCTCATCTGAGTACCGCTTGCAGTCGTCCTAAACGCTTACAACGGCTACGTGGATGGAGGGCAGTTGGTTTTCCACATGGGGTTCCCGCTTGAGCTTTCCTCTTCGGATTCTCTTATCCTGAATTCAGAAGTGTACAGCAGTTACGCGGACGGCGAGCGGCTGGTATAACATCGGATTATCGGATTCAACTTGTGCAACGGCTACACGGGTGAAAGGCACACCTTTTTCTAGAAGGAGCCAGCGTTGGACATGTTTTTGACCTTGTGACCATGCCCGCTTTCTCTTACGGGAGATGGATCTTGCATAACACGGAGTCTCGCCGGTAGCCGCAGTTGAAAGCACATCTTCAGGGACTCGCGAGGAGGGGATTTGGGACGGGAGGGTGTCCTGCAGGATCGTTGCTTTGTCGTGGACTTACTCTGGTCCTCGCTCTCTCTCTCTCTCTCTCTCTCTCTCTCTCTCTCTCTCATCATCCCCCCTCTTGGTTTTCTCCGGCCCGCTCCCTCCGAGCAGAGAGGGGAAGGGGCAGGGGGGAAAAAGAGGAGGGGGAGGAGCGGAGGGAGGAGGCTCACGCCTCCCTCCCCGCGCATCCCCTTGCCCCCCGCCCCGTCCTCCCTCTCATGCCCTCCTCCATCTCGCTCCTCGCCTTCCCTCCGCCCCCACCCGGGGTGCAAGCAGCCTGGCGGCGACCGTGCAGCATTCCCTGTCAGCCGACGGTCCTGAGAGAGCTCCGAGGCCTCTTCGCGGCTCCTTCCCCCCCTCCGCCCCGCACGCCAGACCTCGGCGGGGCCCGGGGCGGCGCACGTCCCCCCCCCTGCCCGTCTTCGGCACGAACGAAACGGGTACGGAAAGAATGGATACAATGCCCAACAGCAGTCCTGGTTCATTTTGAACAGGGCTCGCTGTCCGCGCCGCCGCGGACTGTTTCCACTTGAGACAGAAAGGCCGCCTGCCCAACCGCGGCCGCTGCTGGTTTGGGACAACATGTGTTGTTGGGCATTGTGCCAATTTTTCCGTACCCATTTCGGGCGTCCAAACGGTTGCCGCCCCGCGCGGCGCAGGACGTGGACAGCTCCGCCACGCCCGCCAGAGAGGCGCGCCCCGCCGCCCCGCCGCTCCTGGCGCGCGCGCGCGCACCGGCCCACCCCGCGCTGCGCGCCGCCGCCGCCCGTCGACGTGGTCAGCCGTCTCCCGTCATCCATCGTCTATATACCTATAGATATACACCTACATATATATATATATATATATGTATATAAAAGTATGTGTATATACACATGCATATATTTGTATAGGTATGTCTGTATGTATATATATATATATATATATAGGTCGGGTTTGCCTCCCATAGAGGGATATTTTCACGAGAAAATAAAACAGTATCCCCAACATGCTCAACAATAGTCAAACAATAGTCCCCAGACTATGTTCTGACTATTTTTGAATACCCTCCTGTAGAGGGACAGGCCCGACTTAACTCTTAACATGTAAAATTCCAGATGTCTAAAACATGTTTCAAAACATGTGAAGCCATGTTTAAAACATGTTTATAACATGTTTATAACATGTTCCGACGTTTTAAACACATTTTAAACTCGATGGTAGGACTGCTGGGATGTCCATTGCAGCGGCATCCACAACAGGAGGGAAGACGGAGGAGGGAGGATGGGGATGGTGGGGGGAGGAAGACGAGGGAGGCAGGGAGAGGCGCCATTCAATGCACCCCGCCAGTATGCGCCCTCCCCCCCGTGGACGGAGAGGCCTTCGACGCCTTTGCCCGGCGGGAGGCCGGTGCGGTGGAGGCGCTCGGCCCGCGCCGCCCCCTTGCGGCCGCCGCTGCGCAGAGCTGACCAACCCGACCTTTTTCCCAGCCCCGACCCGCTGGGGGGAGGAGGGGGAGGAGGAGGAGGAGGAGGAGGAGGAGGAGGAGGTGGGCC